TACTGAAATACTTTAGCCATACATTTCCTTAGGGAGCGAAGATGGAGCTGTATTTCTGATATCAGTGAGCGAGGAGTGGGAAATGGTGAACCTGGAGCGGAGTGATTATTGAATGCTTGGAGCGGGGAGGGGAAATTGTTTCCGCTCCACTCCGCTCACATACTCTTCCTCTGACGCTGTTGATTGAACCTTGCCTGTTGTACTCTGAGTGTTTATTAATAAAGCTGCACATGGATCCCAACTCAGCTGACTCCTCATTACAAACAGGTCTTGTCCAAGGTTTTCTTGCAGGGTTATCCTGTTATTCTTTTGTCTGTAAAAACTTGCTAACTTGTTAGAAAAGGAGGTTGAGAAAGGATTTATGATCAGGCAATTTTAAAACTTCTCCCTATCAAAATGATCGGATTAATTCCATAGGGAGTACTACTTGTAAATATTTGGGGGACAGGCACTTAGTTATTGACCTATCTTCCCCTCATTATGACACAGCTCAAAGTATTAACAGTCTTATTCCTTTAGCTCCCTTTTCTCTGTTTTGTGCTACCGTTGATGGTGAAATTAAATTCATTAAACAAGCAGGTAGAGGTGCATGGCTCACAAAGGCAGATATCTCAGACACCTTTCAAGTCATGCCTTTACTTTCATCGCAGTGACATTTATTTGGCATTAAATGGAGAAATAAATGGTATATTTCTGTTAGGCTCACCCTTGGCTGTCCCAGTAGTCCAAAATTATTTGATACACTATCAGAGCCGCTGTGTTGGACTCTTCTCAATAACTGCAAATTGCCACACATGCTTCATCTTCTAGACAGTTTTCTGCTAGTGGATTATCTAAATGCAAAGCCAGACCATTGCATCTTGGCACTAAACTGCACCTTCCATAACGTCTTTCTGAGGAGGAAAGGTTAGGCCCTCTTAAAGTCCTTAAATTCTTAGGCATCACCTTAGATTCCAACCTAATGCAAGCCCCACTGCCCTTTGAGAAATTACATCGCATCAAAGAAGTCAAGAGGAATGCTCAGATGTCAGTATCTTTTTCCAAAATATATTTGCTTTGTCTTTGCTAGGCCATTTTATAATTCCCCAGGGCAGGTAATTTATTGCTAGGCTCCTTGACCTCTCCAAGTCAGTTAAAGATCTTAAGGATGTAGTTACCTTAGACACAGGCTGCAGATCTCAGGTTCAGGTCTCTGCTCCTTAATAACTGAAATGGCATCTAATTTTTTCTATAATGATGATCTGGAGTCTTCTGCAGACCTTAAATTGTGCACAGATGCTGCACCTTCTATTGGTTTTGTTTATTTTTTTTTAATGATCAGTGGTTTGCTAGTGTATGTCCAAATGAGCTGCTATCCATGACTTCTAACACCTTGTCAACTGCTCTTTTGGAATTGTATCCCACTGTGATAGCCTGTGTTCTGTGGGGTGAACACTGGTCTAGAAAACAAATTCTGTTTTTTTTTTTTTTTGTGACAATGAGACAACCGTTAATATCATAAGGGATGCTCCTCAGTTCCGTTTATAAACAGTTTTGTTACACCTTACTTGTAGGGTGGCCATATGTGCCATTTATACAGGACACATCCTGGCCAGGATTTGTTAGCCGTGAAAGTAGATTCTATTTCAAAATAAAAGTCCCACATATATAACAGAAATTATGCAATCCTTAGTCAACCTTTAGCGAAATATACATTAAAAATGTATGACTCTGCTTGGTCTCACTTTAGTTCTTTATGTGACACGTTCTCTGTAGCTTTACTGCCTGTTGATCATGTGTCTGTATCATATGTTAGTGCTTTTATAGTCTACTGCAGGGGTGGCAAACGTCGGTCCTGGAGAACCGCAGCCCTGCAGAGTTTTGCTTCAACCCTAATCAAACATACCTTAACAAGATAATCAGGTCTGAAGGGTTACTAGAAAGCTACAGGCAGGTGAGTTTTAATTAGGGTTGGAGCTGAACTCTGCAGGGCTGCGGCTCTCCAGGACCGGAGTTCGCCACCACTGGTCTATTGTTTTGAATCACGGAAAATGAAGCCTCAACCATCAACATTATGGTTGCTGGCATCCAATTCCACCTGCACTGCCTAGATCCATCCACCCTCAGCTTACTAGAAAATCCATCCGATCTGACTCTGAAGTGCAGTTCGTTGTCTTCTTCTGGTGATGATTAGTTTAAACCAACCTTCCGCCACCTACTGGTCTAGAGTTATTATGGCACATAGTGGGATTTAATCCAATAAACTAGATGCTCTTAAGTACTGTTTACTAAAGTTGTTTAGTTTAACTATTGCATCCACCTGAAAGTTCACATAACACAGTGTAATTAAGTAAATTCAACCAATTTGTAAAAATCTGTTATGTTTACTCGCTTTTCTTAAGTAGATTCAGTGATTACTTTTTACAGTGTGGTGAGCAAAAAAGTTAATGTCAAGCCCTGGTCCTGACAGAACAATGATTAATCTTTTAATTGTTTATTTTGGGCATTTCAAGGTTTTTTTTCTTCTTCAGCAAATATTAATATTTAATTATTTGTGGCTAATTAGATTAATTAATGAGCAAATCATGTAATTATTGAGAATACAAATAATTATTTGGCAGTTCTATTTTTTACTCAGTTTATCATTATAATACTACTTATTCACTTCCTGTTAAGAACATCATTAAACAGGAATTACAACAAAATTATGAATATATATATATATATATATATAAGCAACTTTGCTACCTCCATATGCTTCCTCAGATTTGATGGCAACATTTTTGAAGCCAGGCATCAGCCAGGTCAGGTGAATGTGAAAGATTTGAAAAGCAAGTAATGACCATTTGACAATGATGAAAGGTGGAAACATAGGTGTGGGAAAATGTGCTGAGGATTGTTTGGCGGAGTGAAGTCAGGAAAGAGCATCAGCAAGGCTATGGACTGTCTGGAGGGACAAGGATATCGATCTCACGGGAGCTGAGGGGTCTTTGGAGCTGAACTCAACTGCAGGACGTTTATTGAAGAGATTGTAGACGGGTGAGTATAACAGGGCGTTGAACAGGGAACACAGCACACAACAGCAGATCACAGCAGTGGAATAAATATCAGGCAGCGAATGCAATGGAAACACAGCAGTGAGATATACAATACTGTGCGTCCCAGAACAATATCAGGTGTCCAAAGAGGACGACAGTAGGTCTACAGAGGATGGAGGAAAACATCCACAGAGGATGAAAACACTGCGTGAGAGAAGCAGGGTGACATAAACGTGTGAACGCAAGACTCCAGCATGACAGAGTTTGTGAGGTAAGTATAAGCAGCATCCCTCGACGAGTGTGCTGTTTGTGTGCAGGTGTAATTCATTTACAGTCCAGCAAGAGAACGGTGTGTGGAGCCTGGAGGCCAGATTATTTAACCAAGATTAACAAATGGACAGAATGAATAAGAACTATTTTTCATAACATTCTAAAGCATACTGAGGTTATTCTGTAATATTATTGATTTATTGATGTGCTTATTTGTTTGTTATAATTCCCATTATAATATTTGACAGTTTCCGTTGGGTTAACTATAATGATGTCAGTGCTATAGTAGGCCTAATTGACATCATCGTGGGCTTTGCATTGACTGAAGCGCCCAAGATGCTGCAGAGCGTCACGTGCGCCGGTGTGTGTCAGCGCTCCAGCCCTGCTGCACATCATTTACTCGCATCACTTTCCTCAATAACTCAATAAGTCAAACTACCGTTTTCATCAGTCGACGAGAGCCACGGCGTGCTGGGTAAAGCGATTTTCATATCATTTCAAACGGCTCTGTGTATGTGTTGTGTGTACTAATCTGTTCTGCAGAAATCCCATATAGATGCACATCGAGACATTTATTCACAGAATCAGATGCGCTCGTGCAATGATGATGAATATAGTTTCGGTTTTGTCCGAATGGATCGTTTCAATGCATCTGCTCTTTTCTCAATGGATTCAGGTGAGCTCGATCGCTGCTGTTTGATGGCATGCGTGCTTTAAAAAAATATTTATAACATGCAACACGAAGGGCTTTAATATGTTCCTCTGTAGAAGATGAGCTCATGTGGGAGTTCTCGAGCTGTGCATCACCTCTGATCGCATCTGGAGCTTCATTCATATTGTATATTGTGTGCGTCTCTGTTTTAATCTTTTGTGTCTTACTATCGAACCCGTCTGAAAATGAAAGGATGCGCTTGTGGACTTGTGCTTTATAAGCCATGGACCCAAACGCCCTTAACGTGTTATCCAGATCACTGGGTTGCTATTGCTGTAAGAATCAGTCTTTATGGGCAACGATGTTGATGTTCTAATCCGTGATGTACAGAGATTATTAAATATATAAAAGAGATGGGGATAGTTGTCACATGTCTTACTCCAGTAAATGTTAGGTTAGGTAGGTTTTTTCCTCCTTGCGTTAAAAGTCTGGTTTACAATCAGACATTACCACCGTTTTTCCCACAAGAAAAAAAAAGTTCAGTTAATTAAACACATTGAACCTGTAGTGGGGCATGTTGTCACACTCTGGGAGGGGGTTATTGACAGTAAAATTATCTTTGTATGACATGAAAAACCTACTTCTACAACATATCTGTATTTAAAATACACTATGGTATTTAATTATTTTAAAAAATAGAGAATGTTCTACAGAAATGTCAAACCTTTTTGGCCAAAAGACATTGTAATTCATGAAATGACAACAAATAAATATGCTATTCCTTGATGTAAATGGGACAACTTGCCTTGACCTGTGCATTTTTATGCAAATCCTGGCAAACAAAAAGCATGTACTGCAGTGAAGGCCACTCACAGTCACGTATTATAAGCAATAGTAAATCAGTCATGTTTGTCTACTAGGATTTGTGTAAGTCAGTATTTCCCAACCCTGTTTCTGGAGGCACGCCACCACTACACATTTTCTAACTCTTTTTAATTCCTTAACACTTGATTCAACTCCAAAAGCTGAAAGAGATGAGTCAGATAAGGGAGACATCCAAAATGTGTACCACTGGTCTGCCTCCAGGAACAGGGATGGGAAACACTTCTGTAAGCAACTGATTCTTCCTTAGGATGTCAGAACGATTGTCAGATGAACTGCTATTGAGTTTTTGTTTTTTCTCCAGTGTCAATGGCCGTATGTTGAGGGATCAGAGATGACGTCTGCTGCCTGCTTCTGCTGAAAGAGGATTTAACCCTTTAAAACACTTATGGTCAAAACCACAGTTTCAGACAAAACGTAACATGATGGATGACACTGAACAGTGTGGATACGGCAAAGCGTGGATGATAACTGAAAAAATTTCAATGCAGAACAAAAATAAGGTTGGTGACATGAGGAGAAAAGTTGTGAAATGGTCTCTATAGATGTTGAAACATCCTGAGAGAGACTGTCAGGTGGTTTATGCGATTTGGAAATTGTGGTCACTATTATATTTTGTCCATTCAAAATCTTACTAAGATTACTATAAACTCAGCCTGACTACATTATGATTCTTCAAATGCGACATGGTGCCCATCTCCTCTGGATTGGACTGGTTGTATGTGCTGTGGAAGCTGGAGCTAGTCTCCGGTTTACTGGCGCAGAGGGACAGTGGGCCTCGTTCCCCATGTGGAACGCTTGCTGTGAGAGCGAGATGAGCTTCAGCATGAAAACCAAGAATTTAAAGGGACTTCTGGTGTACTTTGATGATGAAGGCTTCTGCGATTTCCTCGAGCTGCACATACAAGAGGGGAAACTCAGACTACGCTTTTCTATTTTCTGTGTTGAACCTGCTTACGTACTTTCAGATGTTGTCATCAGTGACAACCAGTGGCATGAAGTCACAATCAGGAGGAACTTCAGAAACACTACACTCATCGTTGACAAAGAAATAAAGTGGCATGACGTTAAGTCCAAAAGACGGGATATGACTGTCTTCAGTCACTTGTTCTTAGGAGGGATTCCACCAGAACTAAGACTGATGTCTTTACAGCTGACATCGGACACTGTGAAGGATCACACTGCCTTTATGGGCTGGATAACAGACTTGAAAGTCAACAATTCAGAGCCTTTCATCATTAACAGTGCCGGGGTAAGCACTGACCTCTGTGGCTCACACAACATGTGCTTAAACGGAGGTGTATGCAGTGTTGTCAATAATGAGCCTACATGTGACTGCTCTGAAACCGGCTATCAGGGAAAGGACTGCGGTGAAGGTAAGCTATCTTGATTCAGCAACATTGCACGTGATTGATAACACTGCAGGTCATTTGCAAATCAATAAACAAGCCTAGACTATTTTTGCCTTAAAAGGAAGAGTTCCCTCAAAAATTGAAATGAGCTGAAAATGTGCTCACCCTCAGGCCATCCAAGATGTAGATGAGAACAAATTTGGAGAAATGTAGCATTCCATCACTTGCTCATCAATGGATCCTCTGCAATGAATTAAAATTACCAAAATTAGAAATGTAAAAATACCAATACGGGTTACCAATGAATTGTTACTCATTGGGGATTTGGGTGGTCGAGGAGCTTTAGTTATGCACTACCTTAGTGCAGCTTTTGATTTAATAGATCATGATATTCTCATTGAGTGCTTAGAACATGTTGTGGGTCTGAGAGGGACTGTTTTAAAATGGTTTTCTTCTTATTTAAAGGAAAGATCCTTTTCAGTGACAGTTGGGGAATTCCCATTCTCTGCTGTTTCTATTAACTGTGGAGTTCCTCAAGGCTCCGTTTTGGGGCCTATTTTGTTTTCTTTATTCTCGCCAGAGGTGGAAAGTCCAGGGGTCAGAAAGTAAAAGTCCTGCCATATGTTTATTCCACACATGAACTCAGCCAGCTGATTTCACTAATTAGTTCTACCTCCTGGCTGAAAAACTGTGCTAATTAGCAAATCCAGGTGATTGGAACAAAATACTGAGGAGGACGTTTACTTTCTGAACCTGTACTTTCCACCTCTGATTCTCGCTGCCCTTAGGTCTTGTTTAAAAAAAAAACAGCATGTCATATCATCTTCATGCCGATGATATTCATATTTATTTGCCTATTAAACCTGGAGGACTAACTTCTCATTCATCTTTGTTATTACGTCTTGTGGAGGTGAAGTGCTGGTTAGAGCAAAATCGTCTCCAGGTAAATGTGACTAAATCTGAACTTCTGTCATGATAACTCGCGCTTGAATTATTGTAATGCACTTTATTTGGGAGTAAGCCAATCTCTTATTTCAAAATTGCAATTGGTCCAGAATGCAGCTGCACGGCTCCTCACTAATTCTCAATGAATGCAGTGAACTCGCTTATTGCATGTGTTGTGAGTTTAGCGCACGGAACGCAACGGCCACCAGTTAGGCTTTATTATTGCGGCAGATATTTACAGCATTTTACTAGATTTGTAGTGAGACATTTTTGTAAGCACGTTTTCAATGAAACTAGAGTTTTCCTTCAAAATAAAAGCTCTACTGCTGTTCCTGTCAAAATAAAAGCTTAAAAGTGCAGTAAGAATTGCTGACAGCTAGCAGTTTGAAATGCAGTCCAAATTCAAAATATATTAAGAAAGGAGTATTGTAATTTCCCTACTGTAGTTTAAAGCAAAAATAATATACTTATGAAATATTAATTTTCATTTATTTTACAGTGCAGTTGCATTTACAATATATGGCTATTACTGTCATCGTTGTTATTATTATATTCTAATTTGTTTGGCTTCCTAAAACCAGTGTGAATGTAATTTAGACTGAGACAGTATATCACAAATAAAAAGAAGGTTGAGTCCCCTTTAAAGTTCAGGTACAAGTCAATTCACTCACTTTTTAAGTTGTCTTAGGAACATGGGTTGGAGCTCTTAATTTTTAACTCTCCAAGTGCATAGAATAATTTAACTTTAAAATGTACAAAATTGTCTTTTTTTTAAATTCTTCATTTATTTATTTACTTCATAAATTTTTTTAATTTTTAAATACATTTTAAAATATTGTATCATGGACTTCATATTGCAATATTATCGTATCGTGAGATTTTGATATCGTTACATCCCAGGTATACCATCAATTGATATTTTTAAATCTTGTTTGAAAACGTACTTTCTTTTAATTGTTGAAATTTGGAAGTCTTATTTTTTTGTTATTTTCTCTTTGATGTTGCTATCTTTAATTTTTTTCTGTTGTTATTTTTTTGTCTTTTTGTTCTGTTTTTATCATTATTTGTATTTTTTACTGTATAGTCCTTTGGTCTAATTTGTTGTGGAAAGGGCTCTGTAAATAAACTAGACTTGAGCCTTGAATAGGTGCTGTCAGAATGAGTCCAAACAGCTGATAAAAACATCCACACCACCACAGTAACCAAGTACCACCAAGTAATCCACACCACTCCACCACACATCGTGGTTATCGTAGGGAATGGATAGAAGAAGCTAAGAGTACATTTGATGATACATCTCAAACACAGTCCCTACATGCTACGAGCAATAAAACACAACTAGGCAATAGCCCTATTTGTTCGGTTAGGTATTCAGCATTAGGTGCAGAATTTTGTAAGTTTCTTTACAGGCATTGGCATATTATTTCTAGTGATTCTAAATGGTCTCATGTTTTCAAGGATGGCCCCCGTTTGGTTTTTAAACGTCAAAGTAACCTGCGTGGCATGCTTGTAAGATCCGAGTTCCCGTCTAGTGTAGTGAAACCTGCCACTCTTACTCTTCCTCCTGGTAATTATAGATGCGGCAATTGTGCCCAGTGTACTTTTACATATAACTGTACATTTTTCAGCCATCCACACACTGGTCGTAACATACTGATACGCCGTACAATTACTTGTTCATCTACACATGTGATTTATCTTATTTGTTGTCCGTGTGGTCTCGCTTACGTTGGTAAAACTTCTAGATCATTACTCACCCGCGTTACTGGGTTTTGGATTTGGACTTTTGGATTTATACTCTAAATATGTTGTCACCTTTTGGGTTGAATGAAGATTTTGATATTAAGCCTTTTTATTAGGATTGTGTGTATTTTTTCATCTGTCTTCAGTATTGTTTGAATATTTTGAGTGATTATTGATCTGTATTGATTTGTTAGTTTATTCGAGTTTAAGATTTGTATTTTACCTGCATTGATTTGTGTATTTATTCGAGTTTAATTTGGGTTTTCTCTCTCTCTCTCTCTCTCTCTCTCTCCTTGTGGGAGTGTACCTGCACAGTGATTGAATGTGTCTAATTAGAATGATCACCTGTTACTTATAAAGAGTTGTACCAGTTTACGTAATTTGTGCCTGACGAAGACCTGATGGTCGAAACGTTGCCGCAATAAATTATTTTTATGGAGCAGTTGAGTCATTCCACGAAACCGGTACGATTTGCCATTCTCATAAATATCTATCTGTGCTTTTTTGCTGGTCATGTTTTTTTTCTAAGTAAATTCATGATTATTCATTAAAATCATATTATTTAGTTCCGTACCTCAGTAACCCCTCAACCCCGTTACACAAATCATTATCCCCCAATAAAAATTATTAACTGATCCTTATGTGACATCATTAACAGGAAGTGACATCATATAAGTCTTCTGAACAACATTGTGGGCAGACATAGGCAAGTTCCCACCTTCTTTTATAACTATAACTTATTGATATTGTGGTTGTCAAGCTTAACGACTCAACCCCGTTACATCAAATAAAGATAGAAATCTATTACTTGTGAAAATTATCTTTTTATTTCAACAATATACATAATTTCTTAATATCATGCATGCCTTGTGCTCTCCTGTTATTCACTACATTTAGAGCAGTGGCCATTTTGAGCA